TTAACGTGAATTTTATGTCCTGTCTCTATAATATGTTTCGCAATAGAGGAGCTAGGTCTCCTGTTCTCACCATTAATGGGTTCTGAAGATTCTATTTGTTTCTGGAGCCATTTAGGAATATGCTGTGAAGCCAGCCCTTACTTTCAGAGATCGATGAGTCTTCCCTATGTATTTGTGTTCATACGTACATTCAAATTGGTAAATACAACAGTGGGATGTGACATCATTTTTCGCATGTTCGAAGGGCTTAGATAGATATATTGGCTTCACATTCTCAATTATAATGATATTGGCTGCATAGAAAGTCTTTTTAATAGCAACCTATTATCATTATTATTCCCATCATCCATATTTTATTACTACTCTATTACTGTTTATTAATAACGTTGCTTTTTCATACAGATTTTATATAAAACACTATCGCCTTTCCACCAGTTCCTGTCCATTCTACACGAGCTTATTGATTAGTCATTATCTCACACTTATTACGTCATGCCAACTTCTGCCTCTTTTCTATCTTACAATTATTAGTCATTCCTTCTAGGTTACACCTTACATTATATAATACATTTTTCGTGGGTAAAGTTTACCAGTATCTGATTGGTCTAAAGATTTCTTTGTTAAATATAATTATGACTATACAGCAGCTCATGAAAGTGAATCGTTGAAAAGAAAATTCTCTTCGCTGTTTACACCTTTTTCTTATGATTCAATAATGGATTTAACCCAATTTTTAACTTCAGCAACTCACAGACTGACTTGTTACCAGGGAAATAGTAGTCTCGTTGACTTGGACTATGCGGATGATATAGTTATCTTAGGTGAAGACACGGATACAATGCAGAGTCTCCTGAACACCTTGAGGAGCAGCAATCTTCCAGTGTTTGGCATGCAATTCGCTCCTGCTGTCAAATGTAAGATGATGAGGCTACAGAACTGGACTGGACTATATCGACCCACTCCGAACATAAAGATATGCAGGAGTGAAGTCGTTGGCAGAGTGTGTTGACCCCTTCATTTACTTGGAAAGTTGCATCAGCCTCGTCAGCAGGTTAATCTTATCGCTGATGAAGTCTCAGCACAGATACAGGAAGCTCGTTTGGTATTTTACAACTTACTTCATCTCCAGCATAGACGTAATATCCAGCAGTCGACGCAACAAAGGACATGTGTACTGCACACCAGTTATTTATGTCTTCGACCACAGATATCTGCATTCTATCTCATGTGTCAAGTGGAATATGTTCAGATAAGCCATAGTGTGTTGGATAAGGTAGAGAAGTCAGCCAGTGGGGTTAAGAAGGTATATCGATTGAGATGCCTAGTAAACTTGGCATTCATCCATGAAATCTTTGATTACTGGTTTCAGTCACACAGAGACGTGTGTACACCGCCTGGTTGGAATTCTGAGGATGCTAAACACAAATGGCCTAAAACTATTGGTGACTTGGCTCAAAATCGATATCAGTCGCTATAGTTCTTTCCAATTTCTGTTCTTCTCTCTTTTGTCTATCTACCGTTGTGAGCCACGAAATCAGCATGTCGCAACTTGGACTATTGTACATCTGTATAAAGTCCTATGTTGAAACTCAATTAGTCAGTCAATTAGTCTTGACTCCATATTCACAATAAGAAAGGAGTTTGTGTTTCATTGCAAAAATAAAGCCTGACAACTGTATGAACGATGTTCAACATAAAGAATTAAAGTTTTGTGATAAACATGCCAAACATTCAAAGATTTCTGTCCCTCAAAGTGTTCAGAAGACTCTGGTCTATTATTGTCAGCTTCTTCATATCTAGGTGAACAATATCATCCGCATATCCTTGTCCTTCCTAGAAAAAAGTCAGTCCCCAAGTTGCACTTATAGTCAATCCTGTTGACTGGTTGGTTTCAATATAGAATTTTGCACCGATGTGCAGCAGTTCAAGTCTCCATACTTTACTAAGCACACAAAGGTAAAGAAGAAAATAAGAAGAAAAGCAAAATAGAGACAATTAACAGAGATATGAGACAAAAGGAATAGTAATATCGAAGAATAATATAGTTTCATTGGAAATTATAAGTCACAAGGAGTGGGTGCATCTGCTCCATTGAGAACGATTTTTAGCCATACCACCAGTTGTCTCCAGCCGTCATTGGTTTTCACCGTCTCGAAAACCCCAACCAGGAAGTCTACACCTTCCTGCGTGGCTGGCTTAAACTAGCTATTGTGGATTTATTTCATTGACTGGTGTGGCCATGTTTGGGTTTGACCACCGTTAGTTCTCTTCCAGACTGACCCTATATCAGGTGACATTGTCCATTGTCGAGAAAGGCGATGGCTACGCATACGTAACACGTGTCGTTTCTCTTGGTGCATCTATGATGAAATTAACGAGAATCAAGGACGGCAACCATTCCCGAAGGCTATCACTCTCCAGAAACTCTTATCCAGCTGAAATCTAGAACGTGTGATCTAGGTGTATATATGTGGTAAATGCAGATTCTCAACTACTTACATAGGCTTATATGTGCTCTGCACACATTTTGTCAACTCTTAAGATTAATTTGCTTGACTTTACCACAGATGGTTAGCAAATTTATTTTATGTTAGTGCTGTAATATTAAAATTATTATCTTACTGAGAACTGAATATACTTTTAATTGGTGAGAGGGCAGCTCTATATCACCAGTTTACACAGTTAGAATTCAGGGGGTCATTGAATTCCATTTCAAGTAGTAGTCTGATGAGTCCTACTTATAGTCAGACATGAGTAGTATATCAGTAAATGAATTCATAAAAGTAACATTATGTTTTGTACGCTAGAAAAAGGC